TTTTTTTAAGCTTAACTTGATATAAAAATATATTTTTAAGAGAAAATAAGAGTAAATTCAGATTTGAGGAGAGGTGTGGTGAAAAAGTAACTTTCCTATTCTTGTAACTTTCTTTTTTAATAAAAAATTAAATGGAGGAGTTGTGTTATCATTAATTTTGTTGAATTGGATATTTAACTAAGAATTTAAAGAGTTTTTAAGCCATAAAAAAATAATTCATATAAAAAAGTTTTACAAAACATTTACATAATGAAATAAAGGAAAATGAACCAAGGCATTCATATGTTTTGTAACCTATCTTTATCAATGCCCAATAATAAAATGATTATTTGATCCAATTAACTTGATATAATTGTTCTTAATGTGCAAAATGAGGAGTTTTTAACTAAAAAATAACTTTGTAAAAATATTTTATAAAAACATCTACATTGTGATTTAAACTTGGATTGTCTATATGAAATATCATGTAGATGATCATTGTGGCAACCAAGTTATTCTTTAAATCTTTATAATCAAATTTACTTAAACTTATCTATTAAATTGTTGGACTTTTAATTAACTTATGGCTTAGGCTTTTATAATCTTAAATGATCTGAGCTTCCATAGCTCATTTCTTAAATGGGCTACATCAACCAACTTAAGAATAAAAATTCGGGACCTTACTTTAAATATGGGAAGAAATATATAATTCAGTATGGATAATTATTTAAGATATACATGTCTATTTGATGAAATATAAGCATGAAGCATTTAACTTGTTTAAAATCTATAAAAATGAAGATGAAAATTAAAAACTCTTAGAAGTGATAGAGGTGATGAATATATTTCTAATGATTTTAATTCATTTTGTAAACAGCAAGGCATTATAGGTCAGTGTTATGCATCTAGAGACCCCAACCAAATGGTTTGAATGAAAGAAAAAATAGAACATTAGTCAAAATGATAAATGCTATGTTATCTTATGCTAAGTTGCTATTTAACATATGATGAAGCTTTGTTGAGTGCATTAGAATCTTGAATCGAATTCCTTCAAAATTCACAAAGGTTTCTCCTTATGAATTATGAAAATTAAGGAATAAATTATTTCGCTACATATGAACAAGCAGCTAAAACAACATTAATTAAGATATTATTCGCATTAACATCCATATGTGACATACATGTTCATCAAATAAATATCAAAATGACATTCTTTAACGGGGATCTTGATGAGAAGGTTTATATGGAACAATAGAAAGGATTTTTCTACCGGCAATGAACATAAGAAGTGCAAGTGAGTAAAATCGTTATATAATTCGTATCCTCAAGTTTTGGTTGACCAAACCCTAGAAAATTATTTATAAGACATGAAATCTATACAATTCATAAAGAATATATGAAGAGAATGAGGTAAAACTATTTTTTGGATGGTTGAATCAATCTTCGTCGCCAAGTTGTCTATTTTTTTTTATTTTTTGAATCTCGTCCTCTTCAATTCTCTTTCAAAAGTGGCCTTGAGGTTCGTATTTAGAAAAAATTGTAGCCAAGGTACCAAACCTTTCGTTTATTAGCAGAGTTGACCCAAACCTTTTGTTTGTGCCACAGAGGTACCAAACCTTCAAAAAATTCACACCTAGAGTCCAAATTGATGAAAACTGTTATTAACCAAAAATCAAAGATCTGACCAATTGTTGACTGGTTTTCAAAGGGGCAAATGTGTAACTTTACATTTTCATACAAAAAAAATTAAATAAAAGAATTTTAAAAATAGTCATCTTCTCCACTCACCCCCACCCCTCCCCTCTCCCTTTCCAAACCAAAAACTAGGTATCTACCGATAAAATCAACAATTGGAATCTTGCTGACTTTCTCATCCTCGCCGGAAGCCTCACTAAAATCTCAAAAGTTAATTTCAAATCCTGCAACTCATTTTCCTTACTCATCAAGAGACCTCTGGCCACCAAAACACGCTGCAACCAAACACTAGTTTTCTCAAGGTTTTCTGGCTATGTCACTTTTCCAGAGAAAAGAAAGAAGAGATAGAGAAATCTGACTGTGTCTTCATAAAAAATAAGGGTACGAGAAAGGTGAAGAAGAGACTGATGGTGGGGAGATATGATATGAGTGTATTTTTCTTTTCTTTTTCATCACAAACGAGATGGAAAGGGTTTTTAGGGCAAGAATTACTATGATGTATCTTTGATTCTTTTCTTGTTAATTTTCACCAAGAATGAACCATCAAATCTGATTATCACCTTCTTCAGAAAACCACCCCTATTAATTATTTACAGCTTTTCAACTTTCTCTCTCCTATTTACTATGGTGGCCTCATCTTTCATCTTAAATAATGCCCAACTGCCCTTCTTCTTTTCCCTCATACTTGGTGCTAATAATCCAACCTTTGCCTCTGCATATGCCTTTCTTTTGTGTGGGCGTGTGAGTAATTAATTTCAATGGTAATTTGGTGTGTTCTTAATTAGGTCATAGCGGTTTATCAAAGGGTTTCTCATAGAATTTATTGGCAAACTGGTTTCTGGTTTTGATGGGGGTGGAAAGTGGGGATGTGGGGGTGAGTGGAGAAGATGACTAGGGTTTTTTTTTTTTTTTTTTTTGGGGTTTTTGGTTTTTTTTTTAATTTTTTTTTTTTTTTTTTTTTTTTTTAAAATTTAAAATTTAACATTTTCAAAAAAAAGGGTGTGGGGGGGGGGGGGGAAAATGACTAGGGTTTTTTTTTTTTTTTTTTTTTGGGTGTTTTGGTTTTTAATATAATTCTTTTATTTTTAGTTTTCTATATGAAAATGTAAAGTTACACATTTGCCCCTTTAAAAATCAGTCAACAATTAGTCAGGTCTTTGATTTTTGGTCAATAACAATCAAACTAACAGTTTCTGTAAATTTGGACTCCAGATGCAAATTTTTTTAAGGTTTGGCATCTCCGGTGTCACAAACGAAAGGTTTGGGTGAAGTCTGCTAATAAATGGAAGGTTTGGTGCCTTGGCTACAATCTTCCCTTATATTTATAATATCTTGAAGTCTTGGAAAGGCAGGGATTAGATTGGGCCAAGAAAAGAGTCTAAAAAAATCAAAGATCTTTTTCTTGTCCAGCGATGCACTGGCGCCACAAGCGCAGAGCTGCAAGCTGCGATGCTGTTGAAAATTCAGCAACAATTGCATTGCAGTGCCCACTTTAGGGTAAACGTTCAGCACTGCATATCATTCAATATTTATATAATAACTTTTACTCACACTATCAAATTGAGGTGATTCAGAGTGCGTTGGAAAGATAAAGAGCTACAGTATACTTTAGATAGGTTTTTCCAACTCAAATGTTTACTATATCAAACATAGGTATCAATCTCCAGCTAAAAAACTTGAACATACTATGCGGTTGAAAACTGATTTGTGAAAATATTTTGATCATATCTCGCTCATTTTACTTCAAATTGCATCCCATTGACTCTTAGCACTGTTCAATTATTATTTTGTGGTTCAAATCAACTGTTAAAATATTGCAACTGAGTACTCAAACTTTGGATTTCACCAATTTCAGTGTTATTCACTCATTACTTTCAATTTAGCCTCCAATCATTAAGTTTCACCAAATTCACATCAACTTTTCCTTGATTCATGCCAAAATCACCCATTTCTCCAGGTTTTACATATTCACATCAATTTACCTAACCTGTAAAACAGTACAAAAATACAAATCAAAATTATCTAAAACTTTAAGAATCAAACGAAGTATCGAGATTAAGCAGCATTAATATGCTGACTGAAACGAACTCATCACTTAGTTGATACTTTTACGTTATGGCAAGGTAAATTAGGTCACCAAGGTATTAGTACTATGAAAGGAATGTTAAATTATGATATGATTTCATATAATACAAATAATGCATATAAATGTAAAACTTGTACAGAATATAAAATGGTAAATAAGCATTATCAAAGTGTACAACGGGCTTCGCAAATTTTAGAATTTGTTCACATTGATAAATGTGAATCGAATGGGCTGTTTAATAGGGGAGGAAATATGTAATTTATTATTAGCATAGATAATTATTTAAGATATACATATGTTTATTTGATGAAACATAAGCTTGAAGCATTTAGCTTGTTTAAAATCGAAAAAAATAAAGTTGAAAATCACTTAAACAAGAAATTGAAAACACTGAGAAGTGATAGAGGCGGTGAATATTTATCTAATGATTTTAATTTATTTTGTAAACAAGAAGGCATAGTACATTAGTGTTATGCATCTAGAGCACTAGAATAAAATGGTTTGAATGAAAGAAAAAATTGAGCATTAGTCGAAATGATAAATGTCATATTATCTTATGTTAAGTTGTTATTTAATTTATGGTGAAGCTTTGTTGAGTACGTGTAGAATCTTGAATAGAATTCCATTAAAATTCACAAAGGTTTCTCATTATGAGTCATGAAAAATGAAGGAATAAATTATTTTGATACATATGCACAAGTAGCTAAACCAATATCAATTAAGATATTTTTCGCATTAACATTCACATATGAATTACATGTTCATCGAACGAATATCAAACGGCATTCTTAAATGAGGTTCTTGATGAGGAGGTTTATATCAAACAATCGAAAGGATTTTTCTACCTGGTAATGAACATAAGATGTGCAAGGGAGTAAAATCATTATATGGTCTTAAATAAGCACCAAAGAAATGGCCTAAAAATTTTGAGTTGGCATTAATTTCTTTCGGCTTCATGCATAATAGTATTAATAAATATTTTATATATTTACAATATGTGACAAATATTTTGTTTTTATTTGTTTATATGTCGATGACAAATATGTTGTATTTACACTCTCTAATTCTCATTGAACATTTATTACCAGCAAAAAAATAAAATAAAATAAAAAAAGGAAGAAAAAAAAAAGAATGGTTCCTTGCACGTGAATCAACCTCCCTTCTTTCTGCGCTATTTGTACAGCAACCATGCAATATATATGATTCTTTTATCTTCTCAGTTTACTGTCCATCAAAAGCTTCTGAACCCTTACAAGAGAGAATAGAAGCGTGGAGGTCACGTTTTATACTCCACTTTCGAAAGTTCATCAAACTTCATAAGCTGGGGAAAACATGAAGGAAAGTTGTCTCGAGAGAGAGAATACTGGAAATGATAATGTAAGAAGCGAGGATGAAAAAAAGTGGACCAAGATGAGAGAGAAGCAGAGGAGATCCATCGCCACCAAGATCTTCCAAGGCCTCCGCAGGCACGGTGGCTACCGCCTGTCTCCTCGTGCTGATAACAACCAAGTCCTCCGTCATCTTGCCCAAGAAGCTGGATGGATCGTCGAGCCTGATGGCACCACTTACCGCTCTGCCACCAACACTACCACCATCAGCAGCGTATGTATTTTTTCATGTCACCCTGTACTATGTCCTTCACGACATTGGGGTCAAGTTACTCCACTATTGAGAATCCGCTAACGTTGATGCTAAGTGCTATAACTTTGTGAATAGCGAGGCAGCATTTAATTATTGTAAAAGTTGTTTTGTTACTGATTATACTTCTATTTTTAGAATCTTAGACACCTATTACTGTGTTTTATGTTCTCTCGGATGTAACTAACTCATAAAAGATTAATAACATTATTTAATTTGTGTAAATTTATTTTAGTAACAAGATAGATTCTTCGGTTTCATTAAACTGAAGATTTTTATTTATTTATTTATTTATTATTTTTTTTTTTTTTGCCGGTACCCTTTACCCTCTTATTCCCTTCAGCTATTGAAATAACCCTCTTATTTTTTACCCTACGGTTACCAAATATTAACCTTTTTAATGTATCGTATCCACAAAATTAACATTACATTGCAATAATAAAAGCATCTGAATTCATACTTAGCCACATCTTTTATCTTTTAATGGTTTAATTATGTAATTGCCACACGTATTTGGCTAAGTTAATAATTGACCTGCCTCACAATTGTCGGTCACACGCAGAATAAAACTGCTAATAAATTTTTTACATTTTTCCTGACGTGCTATTTTGTGCTGCAATGTGCAAAACATGTATGTGCTAAGTTGATTTCGTTTCGACAGGGAATTAATGTTTGTCCTCTTTGTGCTCGAGGAAGAAAACGGGCTATGCCAGTGCCAACCAGCAGCTTCAAGGGAGCCAATGCCGGCATTGGTGCTGTCACCAATGATGATGGCAGTGAATGTCTGACGGTGGCCTCCCCTTGCCACATAGGTCCCACAACCCTCCATCACTCCTCCTTTAGCCTACCCTTTTGTGGTGGATTCAGCTCGAGTAGTACTACTATTGCTGCAACTGCTAGTTCTTCTTCTTGTCCATCGCATTGCACAGAGGCAGTTAGGGCTGCTTTCACCTGTGGATCGCTTCACAGGCCCTCCACCTATGATGCCACCACTTCCAGTCAGGACACGCCCGTGGGATGGCCTCAATCCCTCACTTAAATTTCTTAAGCCAGGCACCTCTTAACTACTTGCACAAGTACTTTCATGCTTTTCATGTTATGGTTTTACATGTAAGACATATTATTTGACTTCAGTGTGACTAAATATTCTAGAATCTTGGGAACGTAAAGTAGCCAATCCTATATATCTGGATTGCAAGTTTTATGCACTAGGTTCAATCAATTTTGGACATAAACATTTTTAATATGATTAATGCATTTCGTTTATGGCAGAACTATTATTTAATTGAATTATTATTCTCACGAATTAATCTCATAGAGTCCATAGATTCAAGTCTTAATAACTTGTTAATCACGAGGAGTTGTGATTGTGAGAAAAACAAAGTACATATGATTTTATCATAAATTATCAGTGGTTGTAAATAATAATGAGATATGAATGTCATTATTACAAAAACCATTAAGTGCGACATTTCTTACTTATAAAGAATAGATGATCTCACAAGCTAAAATGTAGTAACATTTAAATGGATACATGGATGTTTTTTTAAGAGAGCAAAACATTGGAAACATCCTGAAGAGATTCCACATGGATAATTGTTTGAGTGTCGGGGGTTAAATATTTAATGTTTGGTATTGGAATTGATCTTTTGACTTGAGGTCATTATAGTACTTTATCTAAAGACAATCATACTTAGATGATATCGGATGTTGCTCTGGCAAAATTTGCCAATACGATATTGTTCGTGTATGTTAATAATTATATGGAGTCTGTAAATGATCAATGGAAAATTTGTCACTCTTAGTTGATATCGAAATCCTTGGACAATGTAAATTAATTAGTTGAAAAGAGTTTCGACATTTATTGAATTTAGAGTGGGGTGAAGATATGATTGATAATGGAGATTAACACACTTTCATATCTCATAATTAATTGGATCATATTAACGAAGTTATTATAGTTTCATGATAAACAAAGAAGTTTTGATTTTGTCACACCACTCGATATTTTTCGTCACATCTATTATCCTTACATGTAAATATCAAGTAGGGACGATGAATGATTGATTGGATTGGATCATATTAACAATATTATTATAGTTTCATGATAAATAAACGAGTTTTGATTTTGTCACACCACATGATATTTCTCATTATATTTATTGTCTTTACACATTGTGAATATCAATTAGGGACGACGAATGTTAAATTAAAAGGGAGTTTTAATTCATTTTGTTTTTATTAGATCAAAATAATAATTAATGTCGTCCAATATCGTCATCATGAACCTAATGGGCCATACACAAAAATGGAACTAGAAGAATGATATTATGAATTATTTAATTTATAAGTGTTGCACATTTGTATAATTAATTAATTAATTAGATTGTTTATTAATATGCTTAAGCTAATTGATTTGATTAATTATCTTATGGACCAAGTTTAACTAATTAGATTAATTAAATATTGGGCTAACTAATGTTCAATAGATGGGATAAATTTACTTAAATATCCATAAATAAATAATTAGGGTTTGAGTTTTTCGTAAGTTATCACAATAGCAATTAAAATTGCTATTGCAATTTAACACACATCTCACACTATCATGATCGTCCTACCACAAGAAAGAGAAATTCTAATCTCACATTATTGTTCTCATGTGTGGAAAGATCATGATAGATCAAGATTCACAAAAAGGAGCAAAGATCGCAATTGTTCATGACCAAGATTCTCAAAGGAGATTGAGGGTTTACCAAAAGTATAATTCCAATCATGATTTCTAGTTAAATACAAAGATGATTGTTGAAGGGAATTGAAATTATTTTTTAACTTCACTATGTGAATATATTTAAATTCTAATAGTGGTATTAGAGCTGACTTTGTCTTTGTTAGAAATTGTTTTTGAAATTTGGGAACGGATAAGTAGCCAATCCTATATATATGGATAGCGTATTTTTAATCGCAAACATCACATAAAACATATATTTTGCTTCCTCCAATATTTACTCTCCTCTTAGTTGATCTTTTTTTTTTTTTCCTCGATATTCTGATTTATCCCCTTCTTGAATTCATAGTGCTGAAAATAAGAAAAGTTGGAGAAAGAAGAGAGAAGTGAAGAATATTTGCTTATTTTCAGGTGTGTTTAAACTATACAAGAAGCCTTTCCTTTTATAGGAGAAGGATGAGACAACAAAATGCTCTATCAAAAATGAGATTTAAACTGATGAATAAAATATGAAAAGATAAAAAAATTAGTTAGAAGTCAGCTAATCAATAGATGTCATTAGCAAACAGACTTCACCATTCCCAAGGGTTTAGTAAACATCTATAATAGTTAGAGTCAAAGGAAGGATTAGGCATGAAAAATATGAATAGTTTTGTCCCAAATAGTCATTTCTCCTCTTGCTCCTTCCAGAGAATCAAGTTAGTGAGCTTAGGAGGGAAAAATACTAGTTATGTGAGAAGAATCATTTAGAAGTCAAGAAATTTATGTCATTTGCGGAAACTAGATCAAAGATAACCACGATCTCATTGTATGGAGTGGGAATTGTTCGCTAAAAATACATGCTGCAAGTGCACCGGTCGCGTTAAAGTAATAAAGTGGATCTTTTGAGTCCGGGTTGTCGATCCCTCGAAGATGTTTAATTTAGATTACACAACTCTAATTCATTTAATTCTAACAATAAAAATAAACACACACAATTAAAAATATGGTTTTGAAATAAGGAAATTAACTAAAAACCAACAAAATAAGAAAATATAAAAATCTTGAAAATTTCATAAGACAGCGTGGTTGGGATTTATGGTTTCATTTAACTGTCAACTAATTAATTTCTCTACGAGTTAATTAACAAACTACTCATGTATTATGTTAGACCCAATCTTCCAATTTTAGTTCATTACCTCTCTCGAGCGAAATTAACCCTAATTGATATGTTTAACCTACTATATCTGTATGTCGATTTAAACCAAATAATCGCATTAAATCTTTGTGAAAATAGCTCATTGGGTCACCGAGGGCAAGGAGTATATCTTTATACCCTACACAAACCTAAAGTTTCTACCATTTGGTCTAAAATGCACAATATTCTTTCAAATGATGTATAATTCACTAAACACAATCATTCATTGGCCATATAAATGAAAATGCATGAAATAGAATCGTAAAAATACATGAAAATAAACAAATTAATATCAAAGGGCAAATATTAAAATCAATCAAGCTAGATTAGACTACAACCATAAATCCCACGACAATTAACTTAGCCCATTTTATACAAATGATAAAAAAGAGAATATTTTGTACAATACATTGCAAATAGGAAACAATAATGAAGAAAATACAAGAGTTAAGATAAAACCCTTTTGGATTTGAATTCTTGATAGCTTGATCATGATTTTTCACAAAATTTCTCTTCCAAATATATTCTCCTTGTGCTCTTAGATTTTGCCCCCAAAATTACCGAGAAAAAGAAAAAGAAAAAGAAAAAGAAACAGAGAAGAAGAAAGAAAAATTAAAAGGAAAGTAAAAAGAAAGAGAAGGATGCTAGGGTTTTCCTTCCAAGTTGAAGAATAATGGAAAAGATGGTTGAATTTGCCTTTAAAAGGGCCCAAAAATCGTGTTTGGTTGCTTTCAAAATGGTCCCCAATTAAAAAAAATCTAGCCAAACAGGTCCTAGTTCGTAGCTGCGATGACTTGAAGTGGCGTTGCAGCGCCATGGCTCTGTAATTGGGCAGCATTGTAGCGCTGCGGCGTTGCTACAGTGCCACCTCCCATTTTTCATTATTTGCACCCCATATTTGCACTCTAGATATCTTAACTTTGAACTTGCACAAATTTGATCCTCGAATTTTGACTTTTCTTTCAATGTCACCCTCCAAAAATTGCAATCCCAAGGCCTTGAACTTTCAATACTTATGCATTTTGGTCCCCAACTTCACGATTTTGTATGGTCACTTTTTACTCCATTTGCATTGTTCTTTTACCTTGATTGATTTTTGGCCTGCAAAAGCAAATGTTACTTAATTGTGAGTAGAATTTCTATCATTTCATCAATAATAATCATATTTAGATACTAAAAAAGTGTAAAAACACACTTATCAAATACCCCTGAGCTGAACTTATTACTCGTCCCGAGCAAGATTATCTACAACATAATCAAGAATATCTGATATTGATCAACACATTAGATAACTTGCCTAAAATATCAAAGAGTGTAAAATTGTATAATCAATTCACAAATATGCTCCAAATAATGCTAACAAAAATAATTTGAGCTTATCCAATGTTTGATTGGTGTGTATGTGTGTAACGTCACTTTAACCATTATTTAAACTAGGAAAAAGTTGTCAAGACGAAAAAATCTTCAAATTGGCTCCAACCTGACCCATTGTGATCAAATATTTCCTTTCCCACTCATGAGATTCACACTCCTCAAATAGCTATTCATTTTCTATCCTTGGGGGTGTAAATCTAAAGGTTGTTCTCAGTCGCGCATTTCTTTTTCCGCTCAAGTTTGGTTTGATCTAACTGGCAATCTCAACATCTAGTCATATGATAATTCTTCACTAATGAGAGCTTCCACATTCAAGCTCATACTAAGTAATTCAAACTCACTAGTTATCAAAGCCCAAATATCAAATACAATTTCATAAAAATATTTTTTTTTTAAGTCAAATCCCATGTTTTACCTTATTCCCTTAGGCTTTCTTCTTGACCCTTGTAGCGAGCTTTAGGTCAATAATTCTTCGGCTGTTTAGGCCAAAGGGTACCGAGTTTTAAGATACCGCTACGGACTTAATAATTGGAGTAAAAAAGCCTACGAAGTGAGGCCCAAGATTCAACAAGTGCAATAACATTTTTTTTGTTTTTTTTTTCAAGCACAACAAAAATGGGACTTAGATCCCTAGTATGTGGTCATTACCTAGCATGGAATCACAAACTTCTAGATAATATCCTTCACTGACTCGACCACCCCAAACTTGTCTCACAGTTTGGTTAAATGAAAGATGAGAGAGTATAAGTTGATATAAATTTTCAAGCAATTCACAACCTAGTACTTACCACTTCAAAATTCTCTCCATCAATCAAAAATTTTCCACATCCAGATAAAAATTAATCATGACATTTGTGCTCAAAGTAATTCAAGGTCTTACAATGGATAAGCAATTTTTTGAAAAAATAAAAATAAAATAAAAAATAAAGAGCCCCAAATAGCATAATTGGTCATGCA